AAATATTTATTTTGCAATTGTTTTTCTTATTTCTGAGTTCTGGTTGAGCGTATGTTATTTTTATCATAATAGATGTTTCTAATGAAAATATTTACAACCAGTGCAAGATTTGTTTTTATTGAGGTATAATTGGCATACAGTATCCTATTAGTTTAAGGTATATATTGTAGTGATTCTGTATTTTTTATACATTATGAAATGATCCCCATAGTAAGTCTAGATTCTGTCACCATACAAAGTTCATACAGTATTATTGACTGTATTCTGGTTTTGTATGTTACATTCTTATGACATTTATTTTATAGCTGGAAGTTTGTCCCTGTTAATTCCCTTTACCTATTTTGCCCAACCCTCAACACCTCCCCACTCTGGTAATCAACAGTTTATTTCCTGTATTTATGACTGTTTCTGTTTGTTTTATTCCTTAGATTCCATATGTAAGTTAAATCATATGGCATTTGTTTTCCTCTGACTTATTTCATTTAGCATAATACCCTCTACGTCCATCCATGTCACAAATTATAAGATTTCATTTTTTTTATGGCTGAGTAATATTCCAGTGTGTGTGTGTGTGTGTGTGTGTGTGTGTGTGTGTGTACCACATCTTATTTATCCATTTGTCTATTGATAGGTTGTTTTCATGTCTTGGTTTACTGTAAATAAAGCATAGTGTTGAACATGGAGGTGTATATATCCCTTAAAATTGGTGTTTTTGTTTTCTCTGGGTAAATATCAGGAAGTGGAATTGCTGAATCATATGGTAGTTCTATTTTTAATTTTTGAGGGGAACCTCCATGCTCTTTCCATAGCAGCTGTACCAATTTACATTCCCACCTACAGTATATGGGGGTTCCCTTTTCTCTACATCCTTGCTAACACTTATTTTTTGTCTTTTTAATAATAACCAATCTGACAGCTAAGAGGTAAAATTGTGGTTTTGATTCGCAGTTCCCTGATTTGCATTTTCCTGATGTTGAGCATCTTTCCATGTGCCTGTTGACCATCTGTAAGTCTTCCTCTGAAAAACCTCTGCTCAGTTTCCCTGACCAGTTTTAAATCAGGTTGTTTGGGCTTTTTAAAAATTTTATATTAAGCTGTATAAACTATGTTTATTTTGAATATTAACCCCTTATCAGATGTATGATTTGGAGTTATTTTCTCTCATTCATTAGGTTGTCTTTTCATTTTGTTAATGGTTTCCTTCTTTGTGCAAAAGCTTTTTACTTTGATATAATCCCATTTATTTATTTTATTTTTGTTGCTTTTGCCTAAGGAGACTTGTCCAAAAAATATTGCTAAGACCAACATCAGATGGTTTACAGCATATGTTTTCTTCAAGGAGTTTTATGGTTTTAGGCCTCACATTCAAGTCTTTAATACATGAGGTGAGATAGTGGTCTAGTTTCACTCTTTTGCTTGTGGCTGTCCAGTTTTCCCAACAGCATTTATTGAAGAGATTGTCTTTTCCCCATCGTATGGTCTTGCCTACTTTGTCATAGATTAGTTGACCATATAAGCATAGGTTTACTTCTGGACTCACTAGTCTATTCTATTAATCTACGCGTCTCTTTTTTGGCAGTACTGAACTGTTTTGATTACTATAGCTTTGTAGTATAGTTTGAAGTCAGGGAGCATAATACCTCTAGCTGTGTTCTCCTTTCTCAAGATTGCTTTGGCTATTTGGGGTCTTTGTCAGTTTCAAATAAACTGTAGGATTTTTTTGTTTTAGTTCTATGAAAAATGCCCTGCTATTTCGATGGGGATTGCTTTGAATCTGTAAATTTCTTTGTGTAGTATGGACATTTAAACAATATTAATTCTTCCAATCTATGAGCACTGTGTATCTTTCCAGTTGTTTTTGTCAGCTTCAATTTCTTTCATCAGCGTCTTACAGTTTTCAGAGTACAGGTCTTTCACCTATTTGGTTAAATTTATTCCTAGGTATTGTATTCTTTTGATGCAGTTGGAAATGGATTGTTTATATCCCTTTCTGATAAGTTGTAAGGGTATAGAAGTGCAACCGATTTCTGTATATTAATTTTGTATCCTGCAACCAATTTCTGTGTATTAATTTTATATCCTGAATTAATTTATTAGCTCCAATTGTGTTTAGGATTTTCTGTATATAGTATCATGTCATCTGTAAACAGTGACAGTTTTACTTCTTCCTTTCCAATTTAGATGCCTTTTATTTCTTTTTCTGGCCTAATTGGTGTAGCTAGGATTTTCAATACTATGTTGTATAAAAGTGGCAAGAGGAAGGAAGCATCCTTGTCTTATTCCTGATCTTAGAGAAAAAGCTTTCAGCTTTTCTCTGTTGAATGTAATGTTATGTGTTTGTCCTATGTGGCCTTTATCTTGTTGAGATACATTTCTTCTATACCCACTTGAAGAGTTTTTATCATAAATGGATCCTGAATTTTGTCAAATGCTTTTTCTGAATCAATTAAGATGATCATGTGATTTTTACCCTTTGTTTTATTACAGTGGTGTATCATGTTGATCGATTTAAGGAAGTTGAACCATCCTTGTATCCCTGGATTAAATCCCTTGATTGTTTTCATGTGTAAAGGTGTATGTGTAAAGGATTTCACGTGTAAAGGTATTTCATGTGTAGAGGTATATGATCCTTTAAACATATTTTAAAATTTATTTTGCTGTTATTTTGTTGAGGATTTTTGTATATGTGTCCTTTAAGGAAACTATGCCTTTAATTTTCTTCTTTTCTTGTGTCTGGTTCTGGTATTGGGTAATGCTACCTTTGTAAAATGAGTCTGGAAGCATTCCTTCCTCTTCAGTTTTTTTTGGGAATAATTTGAGAAGGAAAAGTAGTAAGTCTTTTTAAATGCTTGGTAGAACTTACCTGTAACAACATCTGGTTCTGGAATTTTGTTTGCTGGGAATTTTTAAATTACTCATTCAATTTCATTACTTGTAATCAGTCTACTTGAGTTTTCTGTCTTTATTATTTGGTCTTGCAAGGTTGTATATTTCAAGGAATTTATTCATTTTTTTTTTTTTTTTAGGTTTCCATTTTGTTGGTAAAATTGTTCGTTGTAGTCTCTTGTGATCCTTTATATTTCTGTGGTGTCAGCTGTGACTTTCATTTCTGATTTTATTTGGGTCCTCTGTCTTTTCTGGATGACACTGGCTAGATATTTATTGATTTTGTTCATCTTTTCAAAGAACCAACTTTCAGTTTCATTGATCTTTTCTTTTCTTTTCTTTTTTAGTGTCAATTTCTCTATGTCTGTTAATATTAGCTTTATATATTTAGGTACTCCTATGATGGATACATTAATATCTATAAATTAATTGATTCTTGGATTGCCCTCTTTATCATTATGTAATGTCCTTCTTAGTCTTTTGTGACAGTCGTTGTTTTAAAGTCTATTTTATCTCTGGGGTACCTGGGTGGCTCAGTCAGTTAAGCTCTGGTCATGGTCCTGGAGTCTTGAGGTCAAGCTCCACATTGGGCTCCCTGCTCAGTGAGGAGTCTGCTTCTCCTTCTCCTTCTGCCCCTCCCTGTGCTACTTCTGTCACTCCCTCTCTTACTCAATCTGTCTCTCAAAATAAATAAATAAAATATTTTTTAAAATGAAGTCTATTTTATTTAATATGACTATTGCTACTCTTTCTTTTCATTCCATTTACATGGAATATCTGTTTCCATCTCTTCACTTTCAGCCTATGTATGTCTTAGATCTGAAGTGAGTCTCTTGTAGACATCATATTGGTGGTCTTCTATTTTTATCCATTCAGCCAACTTGTGTTTTTTTATTGGAACATTTAGTCCATTTAAATTTAAAGTGATTATTGATAAGTATGTACTTATTGCCATTTTGTTAATTGTTTTCTGGTTATTTTTGTAGTTCTTCTCTGTTTATTTCTTCCTCTCTTTATCTTCTCCCCTATAGTTTGATGGTTCTCTTTAGTGTTATGTTTGGGTCTTTTCTCTTTAATTTTTGTGTTTCTGTTATAGGTTTTAGGTTTGTGGTTACCATTAGGTTTATCTCTGTTCATCTATTTATATAGCAGTTTATTTTAAGTTGATAGTAACTTAAGTTTGAATGAATCTAAAAGCACTACATTTTGTACCTCTTCCCATGTTTTGTGTTTTTCACATCATATTTTATATCCTTTTATTTTGTATATTTTTAAACTAATTAGGTGGTTATAGTTATTTTTACTATTTTTGGTTTTTAACCTTCATACTGGCTTCTAAGTGGCTGATCTACTGCCTTGACTACATATTTGCTTTACTAGTGAGATCTTTTCTTTTATATATTTTCTTATTTCTAGTTATAGCATTTTCTTTTCCAATTAATGATTCTTTAACAGTTCTTGTAAGGCTGGTTTAGTGGTGATGACCTCTGTTAGTTTTCGCTTGTCTGGTAACTCTTTCCCTCCCCTTTAATTTTGAATGATACCCTTGTATCATTGTAAGGTAGGGTAGGGTATTGTAGGGTAGAGTATTCTTGTTTGTAAGTTTTTCCCTTTTAGCACTTTAAATATATCCTGCCACTCTCTTTTGGCCTGCAAAGTTTCTGCTGAAAAGTCACGACCCATATAAGATTTTAAAGACCCCCATGCAAGCTGTCTTTTTAGTTTACCAAATGTGGAAAAGAAAAATCCAAAACCCATACAGTCTATCAATGTATATGTCACATAGCTTTTTTCTTTTCTTTCTTTTTTTTAAAAGATTTTATTTGTTTTATTTGACAGACAGAGATCACAAGTAGGCAGAGAGGCAGGCAGAGAGAGAGGGAGGGGGAAGCAGGCTCTCCACTGAGCAGAGAGCCTGATGTGGGGCTTGATCCCAGGACCCTGAGACCATGACCTGAGCTGAAGGCAGAGGCTTTAACCCACTGAGCCACCCAGGCACCCCCTTTCTTTTCTTTTCTTTTCTTTTCTTTTCTTTTCTTTTCTTTTTTTCTTTCTTTCTTTCTTTCTTTCTTTCTTTCTTTCTTTCTTGAAAGGATGAAGCTACGTATAAAGCATTGTGGAAACAAAGTTTATTTATCCGTGTTAAAAAAAGTCACCAATTCTTTTAGAACACCAATACAGCAATAAATGTATATCTTAGGGAATGTAAAACAATTGAATCCTAATTAGCTTTTACTTGTTTTGCCTTGGTAAGATTAGAAATGTGAGTCACTGGTTATGTTTACAAAAGGACTAATCAAGGAGAGAAAAACAGTTTTAGTACAATATAGATTTTCCATTCATTTTGTGTTCTGGGCTGTGCTCCAAAAACAAAGCTCATTCCTTTTTGAAGATCCTCTTGGCTTCTACTCCTTCATATGAGTAAGTCTGCAAGGTATTAACAAACATAGAAGAATTTGCCATTAAGATTTAAGGCTCCGTTAAGAAAAATATTAGTATTGCTATAGCTTTGAAATGATTATAATGTTTTTTTCTTAATCTTGATAGCAACATTTTATACAGATAGAAGATATACCCACTTAAAAACATATTTTTTGATTTTTAGTCACTTACATTTTTAGTTAAAATAAGTAAGGTTTATGAGAAAAGTAATAGTTTATTTGTTGAAGATATAACTCAGCAATAACAAATATAAAATTATTATTATATGTAATTATTTTTATCTTTAGGAAACAGCTATGATCTTTTTACCACTCACCTGAACCAGTTCACCACCTATAATTTCTCGGACAGCATTCACTGCATTTCCATTGTCTATCCGTTTGAAATTTCCAACAAGTTTATTTCCCTCTAGGTTCCAAGTACCCTATAAATGTAAAATAATAATAATAAGTAATAATAATAATAACAAATAGCTTTTTTTAGGATCTCACATATATCAGGCACTGTTCTGAGTTTTATAGGTCTACTTCTTCAATCTTCACAATGACCTTATGAAGTAGATATTACTGTCTCCATTTTATGGTTGAGAAAACTGAGACACAATAATTCACCTAAAGTCATAGAGCCAGGATTGAACCTAGCTTTTGGGGCTCTAGAGTATATGCTGGTAACCCTTTTGCTTATCTTACTCAATTGTTTCCAAATGCTAAATTTTAAGGTAGATGAGCAATGCTTCCCTTTTCTAAATCTTTCATGTTAAAAAGAGTATCCTAAATTTAGTCATGGTTCAAGTTAGTTTCATGACGAGCCTAACACCTCTGTGTATGTTGTAATTTTATAATTATTATAATAATTTTAAAATGACCATTAGGATGCCTGGCTGGTTCAGCTGATGGAGCATGCAGCTTTTGATTTTGTGTTGTAGGTTCAAGCTCCATGTTGGGTGTAGAGATTGCTTACAAATAAAATTTTTAAATAAATAAATAAGTAAATGGTCATAATTGATAAAATATTTGACAGTTTGTCATTACAAATATATAATTTAACTGAAAAATGCTAAGGACAAAAAAGATTTAAAAAAATCAGTTGAAAAATACGACTACCTAAAATTTTTTATCTTAAACATTAAAAGGTATATTCCCAATGACCTACAATGTAGCATGCATCAGACTTTTCCATTTGGTCACTCATTCATTAACTAACTTATTCATTTATTTTATTATTTCAGTGTATTTATTGAATGACTATTATGTTTAAGTTAGATAAATCTAAAAGCTTTTGCTGCTACCAGGTATGTAAAGTTGAAAACACTGAGCTTTAGTTTTCTTTATGAATAATGGGTCTATACTTAATCATCCAGAGGATGTTCCTCTAATTCTTATTGATCAATCCAGATTATTTACAGATGTATGAAAATAAAAACATTAGATTTAAATATCCTGCCAATTTGTGTGATGTATAATGTGGATAAACTCTATTGGCTGCTTCAGTAAAATGAAGGAAGCTTAACATTAAACCATTCAGTGACAGAGAACAGATTATTTTAGTATTGTGTAGAAAAATCAAGAATGCATTGCTTATAAAAAGTGTCTTACACTGAGTTCAGTTCCATCTGCTAGGCTGTAATTAAAAGTGACACCAAGCTCGAAAACAATCTCAATGGTACGAAAATTGCTTGCTTCTTTGACGGTGAATTTATTTCCTTCTTGTGTAATAGTAAGTTTCAAATTGTCATGAGATGCAAGCTTCCTTTTCACCATATTAATACCTGCAAAGCAAAAGATTTTGGAGAAAATAAAATCAAAATGCCATAGAAAGCGTTTATTTCAATACGTTCTGTTATATTTATTTGTTTATGTACGTTTGAAGGGTAGGAAGGAAAACCTGATAGCATTGCCTTTGCACAAGAGCATTCAGATTGCCTCCTACAGAAAAAATTCAAGCTCAATCAGATCAAGAGTAATGTTTCAAGCTATTTTTCCAAAACTTATGAAAAATTAAATGAAAAACAGAATTGTAGAATCTTAGAACAAGTAATTTAACATAATTATCAAACTCTTTGCTTCAGTGTTAAGTAAACTAAATTCCAGAAATGTCAAACAAAGGATTAAATATATTAATATATTTGTAAGGAACTTACAAACTTTTTGACTTTCCATAATAGCTTTAAAATTTAATTCTCTTTGCTTTTTGTGGCATTTCCATCACAAAAATGAGAAAATTGGCAAATATTGCAGTCAAATTCATTATTGTAAGAATGTGCAAATCCCATAAATTTTAATATGGAATTCTGGAGCTATAAGATATAATGATGCAAATTTTGTTTTGGGGGAATGACTCCAATTTGTTTGCATATCTCGGGAAGTGTCTGAGCTGCCAGAGTATTGGAATAGATATTAAATTTATTAAATTAAAACCCATATAGAAACCACATGGAATCACGAGATTATTCCCAAAATTTTATGTCAGAGTAAATGAGAATTAAGTCTGATTTAGAGCTGGGAATCATGATAGAATTTTTTCCCCATTACTTTACTATATGATCTTTGTTTTTCTATCCCCTGGAATTCAACGTTTTAAAGTTTTGACATTTTCATTATGCACTTCCCTTTTTTACTCTCTAAACCAAAAAAAAAGTAAGTTTTCAATGACATAGGCCCAAGCAGCAGTTGAAGAGTGAATGAATCATACCTGAATCTTTTTTGTTTCAGAGAACTCAAAGAATCTTTTCTCCCACTAATGAAACTGTAGTTTTCCTAATAGAAGAAGTGAGAGTATTGTTTTCCCTACTTTGAGCCTCATACATTCTGGATCCTCACCACCAGAACAGGAACCATTCCCTAAACCCTGAGGTTTAGAAGGAATTAGAAAAAAAAAATGTCTGTGAAGAACAAAATAACAAGCCACTGAAGAATTAAGCCCTTACCCATTTTTTCCATGAACTTGTCATAGTTCTCATTCCGGTCTATCTTCCAAGTACCATCAAAAGCCATGATCTCCAGTTGAGTCAGCCTCTAAGCGATCAGAGATCCAGGTCTGTCCTTAGGAGACAATTTATCCTACTTCTTATCTTAGAACCAACTTCATACTGTGATGTGGAAGTTTAAAGTTTAAAAGGTCACTTAACTACACTAATGCCCAACCATTGTAGTTTATCTTTCTATAAATTTCTTAGATCCTCTCCTGAAATTCAACTGAATTACAGTTGACCCTTGAACAACATGGATTTGAATTGCACGAATCCAATTATATATGGATTTTTTTTATAAATACAGTACAATATTGTAAATGCATTTGCTCTTCCTCGTTTTTTAAATATTTTCTTTAGCTTTAATGTAAGAATACAGTATGTAATACATATGACATACAAAATATATATTAATTGACTGATTATGTTATCAGGAAGACTTCCGGTCAACAGTGAACTATTAGTGTCTAAGTTTTTGAGGAGTCAAAAGTTATACAAGGATTTTTGACTGCATGGTTGGGGGTGGTGCCCCTGACCCCCCATGTTGTTCAGGAGTCAACTATAAAACTATAGTTTTATAAAACTATGAAACATGATGAACAATAGAATAGGTATTGTTTATTACCACCCCCCCATGTAGTCAAGCTACAGCTTGTGAGAACATTTATTTCAAAAACTAGAATGTGTGCTCTCTTATAATAGCTTTTCTGTTTATAAGTTCAAAGTGTGTACTACATTGGTGGTAACACGATTTAGAACATACATCAAATAACATCTGGGAAATGAGACTATTAATGACCCATCCCTTTTTTACAATAGCAATTACCTTACAAAGTAAGATTTTATGATCAAATATGAATAAAAAGTTAAAGTTAATATGATATTGAGACTGAAGATTTGTTTATTTTACTAATATGTTCTTTTGCATTGTGCTTTTGAGTTGCCAGGAGTTTGGTAAATATCCTGACAACTGGTATAGTTCATGACACATAGGTGTTCACTAGGTTTTGGTCTTGAATGGTGACTGGCCAGTGAGAAAAATTTTAAGAGGTGGAAATGTAGCTAGATAATCTGAAAACTTCCATTAGAGAAACAATCAGGTTTAAATATTCTGCCATGTACAGAGAAAACAAAAACCAGATACCAGCTATGCCATTAATTAAAACCATTCCTTTGTTTTACTCTTATTCCCTCTCTTCCCCAATCCTGGTGCAATCAGAAGCTGAAACTCAATGTGTATGCGGGACAAGGCTATGGAGAATAGCTAAAAAGGTAAAAAGACAAGGAAGTCACCATATCTCTCCCTTCCCCCACTGTAGGCTTTTAGCCTGGAACAGAACTGAGCTGGTGGAGGAAGCACATTAACTTACATGAAGTGCAGAGTTTTCATTATTAACTAATCTGAATATATCACTTGCTAAAAAGAGACCATTATTGTGAATAAATGTGACCAAAGAAAGTCTTCTTAACTCAGGGTCAGTAGAGAAACTAAAGAGCATGCTTGCCCAACATTTCATTCAGAGTTAGAGGAAGGATATATCTAATGCATTTGAGCAGGAAATTGGGGGAAGAGAATTAAGTCTTTAATTTTTAATTAGGCTTCATGCTGGGGAATGAACTCATGGGGCTTGAACTCACAACTCTGAGATCAAAACTGAGCTGAGATCAAGAGTCAGACGCTTAACCAACCAAATCACATAAGCATCTCTAGTTCTTAACTTTGATTGTATCCATTGGGCATACTTTTTCAGTGGAGTTGCCCATTATTTTATTATTTTTTATTATTTTTATCAAGTAAGCACATTAAAAATCTAACTTCCTTCTACTAACTCCATTATTTCATTAAGAGAGAAAAAGATACCAGAACATAGAGAGAGGGAGAGGGGTATTGGGGAAGAGAGATTGTAATTTTAGAATAATAGAAGTCCTTTACATCTGTAACTAACTTTATGAAAAAAGGGGTGGAGCCACCCAGGGGGGGACAAGATGGCGGGGAAGTAGGAGGAGGCGCCTTTTCTACCTGTACCCTAAAGTGAGCTGATTACCTACTAAAGAACTCCGATCACCCATGAAATCAGCCTGAGATCAGATTTATACACATCTGGATCTCTACAGGGGCAGAAGACGCCAGTGGGCCGGTAAAGCGGAGTGGGAAAGGCGGACTGATAACGGATGATAAACAAAATGGGGAGGGAACCACCAGAGGTTACCGGTTGGAAAGTAATACCCCTAATAAGAGCGAGAGTGCCCTGCGTCTGGGGACCAGAATTAACTTTGAGACTGGTTGAAAGCACTCCAAAAGAGCAAAAGGGGGCGGGGGGAATTGTGGGAATCGGGGTGGCTAGGGACAGGGGCTTAAGTCCCTGGTCCCAGGACAGCCTCCCCTGGCGCTGAGCCAGAGAGAGTGCGGTGGAGAAACCAGGTCTTGGTCCCTGAGCCGACAGCGTGCCCGAGATTGCGTGGGTTCTGGCCCCTGTAAGGGGATGGGAGCCACGCAGGACAGCAGAACGCCGAGCCTTGCTACAGAGCCTGAGATGCGTGTGCCCCTCACCCTCCCCTGAGAGAGGTACAAAGGCCCAGCCGGCGCTCTTTGACACGCGCCATTGTTTCAGAGCCTAAGACGCGCCCCCAAACTCTCCCCTGAGAGAGGTGCGCGAAGGCCCAGCCTGGTGCTTTTGGACCTGCGCCCTGTTCTCAGAGCCTGAGACGCGCACGTGACCCACAGCCTCCCCTGAAAAAGGTGCGCGCAAGCCGGGCGCTCTTAGACCCAGAAAGACCAGGCACTCCCAGCCCGGACCAGCGGGAAAATCTCAGTGTGTGATCGCTGCTTGGAACCTCTCTGGCGGTCTGGAGCTGCCCAAACAGCTGCAGCAGAAGATCCTGCATCCCCAGGGACCAAGACTCGGAACATGCTCTGCCAGCAGCCAAGGGGGGATTTATATGGGCTCTGCAACACCCACAGAAGAACAGACTGAGGCTTCTCTCTGAGAGGGAGGTCAGGGTGCAGTTTGCTTTCCTCTAAACCTACAAAAACCATCAAAAGCGGTCAAGGTGAGAGGAAAAAAAAAAAAAAAAGAAAAAGGTGAACAAACATAAAAACCTCCAGAGAACAAAAGCCTGAAAAAACCAGTTTCCTTAGAGCCCACCCCCTTGAGGGGGACTGGAGGACTTAACGCAGGGAACATCATTGACTGAAAACCCACGTGGCAGGCCCCTCCCCCAGAAAACCAACCAGGAAAAAAAAAAAAAAAAGACAAGAGAACCACCACCACTACTTCATAGGACAACTTTTATTTTTAATTTGTTCCCACTATTCTGGCTCATTTTTTTTATATAGATAATTTTTTAACCTATTTACCATCACAGCGAGCCGTCTGGTACATCAAATTCCATAATAACCTTCTAACCTGAACTTTTTGATATATACACCTGTGTTTTTCTTTTGCAATTCTATTTTTTAAATTTCTTTTTTTTTAATTTTAGTTTAGTCTAGTTTATTCCTTTTTTATTTTTATTTTCTAATATTCATATAGAGTTAAACTTCAAAATAATCCCTTTTCCCCAATCAATACTACCCCTATAGGTAAACCAATTTTTAATCCCCTTTATCTTAGGAAAGTTGAGTCCTTTAACAAAGATATCAAGATACATCCAGGAAGAATCAAAACAACCTTCCTCGCCCACACTGAGAATTTATAACCACTCTCCCATCTTTATCTTCCACCAGTGTTTCTGTGTTTTTGTGTTTGTCCTGATAGTATATAAATCTTACACTTGGGGTTCTTTTCGACAAGGTCCTTCCTTTATTTGCATATATATATATATATTTTCTCTTGTTATATACTTTTATCAGTCTTTTTGTTTGTCTGTTTTTGTTTGTATACCTCATAAATCTTACCTTGGGGCCCATTTGGGCTGAACCTTCTCTTTCACCTTCCCTTTCTTTCCTGTCTCTCTCTCTCTCTCTCTTTTTTTCTTTTTCTTTTCTTTTTTCCTCATTTGGGTGGGGAATCCTGATTTCTCAGAAGTGTTCCAGGGTGCACCCAGACTGCACCACGGTCGGTACAACCAGCTAGATCTGTTTAGTCATCTCTCACCAAAATGACTAGGAGGAGGAATGCCCAACAGAAGAAAAATACAGAGGATGGACCTTCTGCAACAGAGCTAATGGCTATTAACATAGACAATATGTTGGAAAGAGAATTCAGGCTAACAATTATCCAGGCAGTAGCTAGGTTGGAGAAAGCCATGGATGACCAAACGGAATTGATTAGGGCCAAGCTGAAAGTGACCAGACAAGATGTTCACAATGTTAGGGCAGAGCTAAAAGCTGCCAGGGCTGAGGTTCACAATGCTCTCAATGAGTTCCAATCTAATGTAAATTCTCTCAAAGCTAGGGTAACTGAGACAGAAGATAGAATTAGTGATCTGGAGGACAAACAGATAGAGAGAAAGGATCAAGAAGAGGCCTGGAACAAACAGCTTAGAAGCCATGAAAACAGAATCAGGGAAATAAATGACGCCATGAAACGTTCCAACATCAGAATTATTGGAATCCCTGAAGGGGAGGAGAAAGAAAGAAGTCTAGAAGATATAGTGGAACAAGTTCTTCATGAAAATTTTCCCAATCTCGTGAATGGAACCAGCGTTCATGTACTAGAGGCCAAACGGTCTCCACCCAAGATTATAGATTCCAGAAAAACATCAAGGCACCTGATAGTCAAATTGAGGAATCATAATTGTAGGTATAATCTCTTGAAAGCCGCTAGGACAAAGAGGCTCCTTACTTACAGAGGAAAGCCCATCTGAAGAACGTCAGACCTGTCCACAGAGACCTGGCAAGCCAGAAAGGGCTGGCAAGATATATTCAGGGCACTAAATGAGAAGAACATGCAGCCAAGAATACTTTATCCAGCAAGACTGACAGTCAAAATGGATGAAGAGATAAAGAGTTTCCAAGACTGTCAAGGCTTAAAAGACTATGCAACCACCAAGCCAACACTGCAGGAAATATTAAGGGGGGTTCTATAAAAGAGGAAAAATCCCAAGAATAGCATTGGACAGAAATATAGAGACAATCTACAGAAAGTAAGATTTCAAAGGTAACACGATGTCAATAAAAACGTATCTATCAATAATCACTCTCAATGTGAATGGCCTAAATGAGCCCATAAAATGGCACAGGGTTGCAGATTGGATAAAACGACAGGACCCATCCATATGTTGTCTACAAGAGACCCATTTTGAACCTAAAGATACACCCAGACTGAAAGTGAAGGGATGGAGAAGCACCTTTCATGCCAGTGGGCCTCAAAAGAAGGCTGGGATAGTGATTCTCATATCAGATAAATTAGATTTTAAACTAAAGACTGTAGTCAGAGATACAGAAGGACACTACATAATTCTTAAAGGGACTATCCACCAAGATGATCTAACAATTGCAAATATCTATGCCCCCAATATGGGAGCAGCCAATTACATAAGAAAACTGTTAATCAAGATAAAGAGTCATATTGATATGAATACATTAATAGTAGGAGGTCTTAACACGCCTCTCTCAGAAATAGACAGATCTTCGAAGCAGAAAATCAATAAAGAAACAAGAGCATTGAATGACACATTGGACCAGATGGACCTCATAGATATATACAGAACATTCCACCCTAAAACAACAGAATATGCATTCTTCTCAAGTGCAACCTTCTCCAGAATAGACCACACACTGGGTCACAAATCAGGACTCAACCGATACCAAAAGACTGAGATGATTCCCTGCATATTCTCAGATCACAATGCTTTGAAACTGGAGCTCAATCACAAGGAAAAGTTCAGAAGGAACTCAAACACTGGGAAGCTAAAGACCACCTTGCTTAAGAATGCTTGGATCAACCAGGAGATCAAAGAAGAATTGAAACAATTCATGGAAAGCAATGAGAATGAACACACTTCGGTCCAAAACCTATGGGATACAGCAAAGGTGGTCCTAAGGGGGAAATACATAGCCATCCAAGCCTCCCTCAAAAAAATTGAAAAATCCAGAACACAGCAGCTGTCTCTACACCTTAAAGAACTGGAGAATCAACAACAAATCAAACCAACTCCACACATAAGAAGGGAAATAATCAAGATTAGAGCTGAGATCAATGAGGTAGAAACCAGAGATACAGTAGAACATATCAATGAAACTAGAAGCTGGTTTTTTGAAAGAATCAATATGATCGATAAACCATTGGCCACACTAATCCAAGAGAAAAGAGAGAAAGCCCAAATTAATAAAATTATGAATGAAAAGGGAGAGATCACAACTAACACCAAGGAAGTAGAAACAATCATCAGAAGTTATTATCAACAGTTATATGCCAATAAGCTAAGCAACCTAGATGAAATGGATGCATTCCTGGAAAACTATAAACTCCCAAAATTGAACCAGGAAGAAATCAACAACCTAAATAGACTGATATCTAGTAATAGATATTACTCACCACTCTTGTTCAACATAGTATTAGAAGTCCTAGCAACAGCAATCAGACAACAAAGAGAAATAAAAGATATCCAAATTGGCAATGAAGAAGTCAAACTCTCTTCGCAGATGACATGATTCTTTATATGGAAAACACAAAAGACTCCACCTCCAAACTACTAGAACTCATACAGCAATTCAGTAACGTGGCAGGATACTAAGTCAATGTACAGAAATCAGTGGCTTTCTTATACACTAACAATGAAAATACAGAAAGGGAAATTAGAGAATCGATTCCATTTACTATAGCACCAAGAACCATAAGATACCTGGGAATAAACCTAACCAAAGAGGTAAAGGATCTGTACTCGAGGAACTACAGAACACTCATGAAAGAAATTGAAGAAGACACAAAAAGATGGAAGACCATTTCATGCTCTTGGATTGGAAGAATAAACATTGTTAAAATGTCTATACTGCCTAGAGCAATCTATACTTTTAATGCCATTCCAATCAAAATTCCACCGGTATTCTTCAAAGAGCTGGAGTAAATAATCCAAAAATTTGTATGGAACCAGAAGAGACCCCGAATCGCTAAGGAAATGTTGAAAAACAAAAATAAAACTGGGGGCATCACGTTACCTGATTTCAAGCTTTACTAAAAAGCTGTGATCACCAAGACAGCATGGTGCTGGCATAAAAACAGACACATAGACTAGTGGAACAGAGTAGAGAGCCCAGATATGGACCCTCAACTCTATGGTTAGATAATCTTTGACAAAACAGGAAAAAATATACAGTGGAAAAAAGACAGTCTCTTCAATAAATGGTGCTGGGAAAACTGGGCAGCTATATGTAGAAGAATGAAACTCGACCATTCTCTTATACCGTACACAAAGATAAACTCAAAATGGATAAAAGACCTCAATGTGAGACAGGAATCCATCAGAATCCTAGAGGAGAACATAGGCAGTAATCTCTTCGATATCAGCCGCAGCAACTTCTTTCAAGATATGTCTCCAAAGGCAAAGTAAACAAAAGCCAAAATAAACTTTGGGGCTTCATCAAAATCAAAAGCTTCTGCACAGCAAAGGAAACAGTCAACAAAACAAAGAGGTAACCCACGGAATGGGAGAAGATATTTGCAAATGACAGTACAGACAAAAGATTGATATCCAGGATCTATAAAGAACTCCTCAAACTCAACACACACAAAACAGATAATCATATCAAAAAATGGGCAGAAGATATGAACAGACACTTCTCCGATGAAGACATACAAATGGCTATCAGACACATGAAAAAATGTTCATCATCACTAGCCATCAGGGAGATTCAAATTAAAACCACATTGAGATATCACTTTACACCAGTTAGAATGGCCAAAATTAGCAAGACAGGAAACAACATGTGTTGGAGGGGATGTGGAGAAAGGGGAACCCTCTTACACTGTTGGTGGGAATGCAAGTTGGTGTAGCCTCTTTGGAGAACAGTGTGGAGATTCCTCAAGAAATTAAAAATAGAACTTCCCTATGACCCTGCAATTGCACTACTGGGTATTTACCCCAAAGATACAGATGTAGTGAAAAGAAGGGCCATCTGTACCCCAATGTTTTGCAGCAATGACCACGGTTGCCAAACTGTGGAAAGAACCAAGATGCCCTTCAACGGATGAATGGATAAGGAAGATGTGGTCCATATACACTATGGAGTATTATGCCTCCATCAGAAAGGATGAATACCTAACTTTTGTAGCAACATGGACGGGACTGGAAGAGATTATGCTGAGTGAAATAAGTCAAGCAGAGAGAGTCAATTATCATATGGTTTCACTTATTTGTGGAGCATAACAAATAGCATGGAGGACATGGGGAGTTAGGAGAAGGGAGTTGGGGGAAATTGGAAGGGAAGGTGAACAATGAGAAACTATGGACTCTGAAAAACAATCTGAAGAGTTAGAAGAGGTGGGGGGGTGGGAGGTTGGGGGAACCAGGTGGTGGGTATTAGAGAGGGCACAGATTGCATGGAGCACTGGGTGTGGTACAAAAACAATGAATACTGTTATGCTGAAAATAAATAAAAAAATGATAAAAAAAAATGGGTTACTTTGTCTTTGTTTTTCTCCCTTTTATCAAAGATAATGAAAACCACATCATTCGGGAACCATCACCCTAGTACACTTTCCACTTGAAAAGGGATCAGTTAAGTAAATAGCACTTGGATGCATGCCAACCTACTAACAGAATGGGCATGTTAAACTTTTCAGTCGTCTATTTACCAGTGGCAATATCCTAATTTAAAGTCAATTAGGAGTCCCTGTTGTCTGTAGAATGTCATCATTTTTTCAATGAATAGATCAAATTTTTAACATTATAATTTTCCAGCTTCCCAGCTCCGTAGCTTCTTAATTCTTACCACTCACCTGGACCCCACCTAGAAAAGATTGTATAGAACCTATAGAACAAGTTCCCTGCAGACCTCTTCTACTAATGATACAATTGGACCATCCGGCTAAGGGCTGACCCAGTTCTTTGTTTTCTTCTCTGATAAAACTGGAAGACTTAGGGTCCTGCTGCTTGGGAGAGTGGGTGGATCGGGTTATATGTGCAGAGATGCTCTCTTTCTCTCTCTCTAGGCTCATAGTCCCTATTAGTCATGGAGTGATATGGAAGAAATGGAAATCAAAAGAAGCTCCTGGTGATCCATATCTCATTCCTGCAGGGGATTATACAAATTACATTCCTAACATCTCTTACGAGACCCTTATTCATATTTTCAGTCTCTTGCCATTTCTTACTGTGTCCTTTAAGGTCTAACACTAAGCTGCTTTCAGTCTCTGCTCTCCTGATTGTGCATGTTTTCTGTTGCTTTAGGTCCCAGCTTGGTCATTGACTACTCTGAGAAGCTTGTCCTGAACTACCATGAGTGAGTGGGTCAGGTAAGCCTACTTCTCCCAAATGTAATGACCTTCTAAATGTCTCATAAAAGTCATAAAAGACAAAAACAGCTGATTCATGATAGCCTAGGAAATATTAGTATCATCATGAAGATGGAGACATCATGAGGAAGGGCAGTACAATGTTCCAAGCTCATCTCAAAGGAATAACTTTCTAGCGATCACAGAAATCCTTTCACCACATTGTTTAGTAGGAGGGAACATTTTCTAAGAGTAATTAAAAAATATATCATTTATGGAAAATGGCATTTCCAGGCCTGTTCTTATCACCTCAGAATTTCAATCCCAACTTCTTTAACTTTTACATGTCAGAGAAAACTAGTGGTCTCTATTAGGCCCTTGTAAGAGATTTGAGGGACCAATTCAGGGAGCAACAAGAAGTTTTAAGATTATTGTCCAATCCCTAGCAGTGAATGGGGAATGAGAAAGAATTCTAGTATTTGCTTACAGAGACCGCTTCATTCTGTTTTAACCGTAGTCTTCTAAATTTTAGAAATCTTAAGACCTGCTAAATTATGTCTTAGATTTTGCATCTGACATGGATGGTTGGTTTTCTTCCAGAAAGACTATAGAGTTACAACAGTGCATAGCAGGACATCTGCCACATAATGGCCAGCATGGGTTGCTGATTGTTCTTGATAACAGGACAGACTTTTATGAGACCCGCATGTGTCAGTTGAATAATCTTGCATGAAGGATTTTTGTTTTGTTTTGTTCTATTTTTTACTTGAGAGAGAGAGAGAGCACAAGCTAGGGGAGCAGCAGGCAGAGGAAGAAGGAGAAGCAGGCTCCCCACTGAGCAGGGAGCCTGTTGTAGGGCTTGATCCCAGGACCCTGGGATCATGACCTGAGCTGATGGTTGAAGCTTAACCCACTGAGCCATCCAGGCTCCCCTCGCATGAAGGATTTATAACTCCATCTTCTGCCTTCTTTGTAGTCTAGGTCTATCCCCAAAGTGATCAGTCTCCCTCAAGCAATTTGGATGGAAGGTTACTCATCTCCTATGCTCCTCATACCACAGAAAGTGGAAGATGGGTTTGCGTTATCTCAGCTCTCCATGCCCCATCCAAACCATTATGTTTCTGCCCCTCTACCTTTTCTTAAGAAAGTCTTTTCTTTTGGGACCACTGTGGCTATCGCCTTCCAGCTTACTTCATCATAGTTACCTGCCATTTACCTCATCTATCATTATCTATCATCTGTCCCCATCTAACATTACTATCTACCATCTATCACTGAAGATCTTGGCAGCTGACATCATCATCTGTGTCCTGCCATCATCCTGGATGACCTCAAAGTCCATATAGATAAATCATTTGTCATGCAGGCCTCACAGTTCCTTAACCTCCTCATCTCTAGTAACCTTTACTTCTGTTATACTTGATCCACTTAAATCCAGGATAATAACCTGTTATTTGCAATTTCTAGAGTTGTTCCTTCTATAAAATTTAGCAAGGGACTCTCTGACCACAACTCTACATCCTCTCAGCTTCTTTACTTTCTCCCAGATCTTGGGATATCAGGAAACCTTGGCTTGGAGAAAACATCAGTCAATTCCTTTTATTTTCTCCCAGATTGGAGCCCCCTCCTGGTTTCTTTACATTCTCTAATCAATATCCTATCGCCAGTAAAACAAAAAACAAACAAACAAAAAAACTCTTTTGCACATTTTTCCTGCACCACCCCCTGTGCTATTACACATGCGTGGTTCCTAGTCTCAGCTGAATTGTCTGTACCGCCTGGCAAGACTTCTCTGTGTCCCAGTCAACTACCTCCTCATTTCATGACAGCTTCTTTAACAATTTTTTTTTCTAGTAAAAGCAGAGTTTTATTCTTTTTAAAAATTATTTTATTGAGGTCTGGTTAACACACAATGTTACATTAGTTTCAGGTGTACAACATAGTGATTCAGCAACTCTGTCACTTGTGCTGTGCTCAGCACAAATGTCACCATCATCTGTCACCATACAGCACTATTACAGCGTCATTGACTGTATTCCCTCTGTTGTGACTTTTATTCCTGTGACTGATTCATTCTTGAACTGGAAGCCTATATCTCCCCTTCACCTATTTTGCCATCCTCCCAACCCCCTCTCTCTAGCAACGACCAGTTTGTTTTTGTATTTATGGGTCTGTTTCTGCTTTATTTTTTAGGTTCTCCATGTAAGTAAAATCATATCATAAGTCTTTCTCTGTCTCTTATTTCACTTAGCATGATATGACCTAGGTTTATCTATGTTGTCTCTAATTGCAAGCTCTCGTTCTTTTTTCTGGTTGAGTAATATTCCACTATGTCTAGCCCATTATATCTATCTATCTATCTATCTATCTATCTATCTATCTACATCGCATCTTTATCCATTCATCATTCGATGGACACTTGGGCTGCTTCCCTATCTTGGCTACTGTAAATAATGCTGTAATAAACATAAGGGTGCATATATCTTTTCAAATTAGTGTTTTTGTTTTCTTTGGGTAAATACCCAGTAGAGGAATTACCATATTGTACGATATTGTCTTCTTTTTTAAGGAGTTGTTTTTTTAAGTGATCTCTCCACCCAGCATGAGGCTCAAACTCACAACCCCAAGATCAAGAGTCACATGTTCTAACAACTGAGCCAGCCAGGTGCCCCTCATACGACATTTCTAGTTTTAACTTTTGAGGGACCCTATACTGTTTTCTGTAAGGGCTTCACCAATTTACATTCTCCCCCAAAATGCACAAGTGTTCTTTTTTCTCCATATCCTCACCAACACTTGTTATTCCTTGTCTTTTTGATACTAACCATTCTGACAGGTGTGAGGTGATAATTCATTTGGTTTTGATTTGCATTCTTCTGATGATTAGGGCTGTTGAACATCTTTTCATGTGTCTGTTGACCATCTTCTTCTTTAGAAAATGTCCATGCAGGTCCTCTGCCCATTTTAATTAGATTATTTACTTTTTTGATGTTGGATTTAATCATTTTCTTATACTCTTCTTCCCTGGCCTCCAGCAGATGACCTACACATTACTCCACAGGGGAAATAAACCATCAAATAACAATTCCCTCAATTTTTGTGCCTTCTGATTTTCAATATTACCTGTTAGTACTTTCTTTACTTCTATAAATTCTTTTACCCACTTACTTACTCAATGAATATTAGAATTCCTACCGTGACCCAGGCACTATGCTAAAGTATAGAAGAAGAATGAATACATACAGTTTCAGTCAAGAGGAAGCAAGGCTTAAAATTGTAACAGTGAGGCACATGCAAAGACTTTTCCCCCCTGCATCTTCATATTTACCCCTCCCTTTCTCTTTGATTTATTAAGCTGAGGTGGGATCGTCTCTCCTTCATATCAAGATGGTCAAGTCTTTTCCATTTTAAGAAATGAAAAGACTCTCTGGATTCTTTTGATGTTACTAGAAACTATTCAGTCTTTCTCCTTCCCTATATAGCCAGGCTTTCTGAGAAAATAATGTATGCTTGTCTCTACATTCTTCCCTTCTATTAGTGCCTCAATCTACTGCAATATAAGCTTTCATGTTCACCACTCCACTGAAGCTACTCACTGAAGTCATAGATGAATTTTTTGTTGCCAAACAGTGTGCACACATCTTGGCCTTTATTTTATGTCACTGCAGCCTTCCAGATCATTGACTCTCCCCCCCCCCTTTGAAATTTCTCCTTTTCTTTTCCTGACTTGATTCTCTCTTGACATTCAACTTACTTCTTGGAATGCTCCTTTCTAGACTCTTCCATGGGCAAATTGTTCCTCACCTGACTCCTTAAAGTTGTATCTTAAGATCTTTTTTTCATTCCACACAGTCTACCTGGGCCATCTTTTTCGTTCCCGTGTCTTCATTTCCCATCTGTGTGATTCCAAATTCAGAGTTACAACCCAGATCTCTCTCCTACCAGGTACTTATTCCTTACTGGGTTTCTCTACCTACATGCGTTATCAGCACCTCAAACTCCACACAACCAGAAAGGACCTTAACTTTCCACTCAGCCTTGTTGTCTTCTATTTCCTGTGTCAGTGATTGATTCTGCCATTCTAGGGATAATTCTAACATCTTTCCTCTCCTTTATTCTCAGCTTTCTATTTTATCAACAAATCAACTTTTACTCCCTACTATCACTTAAATATAACCCTTCTTTGTATTTTCTAGTAGTTGCCATCACTGACTTCGATTGCTACAATAATCTAAATGGTGTTCCCCTCCTCCGGTCTCTCAGAATCCATTTTGTCTAGAGAATTACCTTCATAGACTGCACATGTGGTCATGTCCTATCTTTGCATATTATCATTCAGTGATTCCTTATTGCCATCAGCATACAATTCTATATTCCTTACCTCTCCTGTTCACCTTGCTTTATTCTTCCCCTATCCAAGGTGCTCTGATCTCTCCCCTCTCTATATTTTTGTACATCTTCTTAACTCTGCATGTAAATCCACCCCTTATCACGTACTGTCCCAGCCTAACAGCCACTTAGACTTTCAGAGTCAGCTCAGTGTCACCTATCCAACAGACTGCCTTGCCTTCCCCCTTCCTGCTGGTCTGGGCTAACTCTTCTTTGTCTGTACTCCAGTATCACCAACAGAACCCTTTTACATTTACGTATTGATTGTAGAATCTGTTAACCTGTTGTTTCTTCTAAGAGATTTTCAGATTTAGGGGCAGAGACAATTCAAAATGGGTACAAAAAAGGTACAAAGTAAGCTTACGTATCCTAATTAAAGCCTTTGTTGCCTGGCTGGAAGTGCCATTTGTTTCCCAGTCTGGGTTCAGTGTGTGAGTTTGATCAGCTAACAGTTTGTTTAATAATGAATAGTACCCCCACTGCCTTCTAATCTGATGCTAGGGTCACGGATTTATCCAGTGTAATATTTTGACTCCCTGCCTATTTTGCAACCAAATTGAGGAGCCTCCATCTGTAGGCTTTCCAAAGGAAAGTTAATTGCAGATCATAGGCTCCACAGCTATCTGGTTGGC